CCCCTGAACCCCTGGCGAGCCAAGAAATCATAAAGATGGACCTCGCACATTGCTTCATCCACCGACGCCCCAGGCAGACAGAAGAGGTGCGCTTCATAGGGGCTGATTATGGGTCGTGGAAAACGAGAATTGGGGTTTTTATGTTTCAAAAACTTATGGGTAGCTAGATTGTTCAAACCAGCCCTGCGCACTGGGCATAGTTCATTCATTTTGTGGCTGGAAAAATTTCTACGGTAAGGCGTGGTCAGCCACATGTTGATCGCGTCCCGATGCACGTCCCTTAGCAACATCGCTACAGGGCAAAAAAGTATCTTACAAAGGATACCTGAAAAGCGGGAATATCAAAGCACTTCGTATATTTGATAACAGAGAACACGTCAAAAAAATACCGTTTGTTTAATTTTTAATTTTTTACTTTTTTTTAATTTTTTTGCGAAAACCCCGTCGTGGAATCGGCGCTAATCTTTAGCGGGAAAACATAGTTTATATTTTCAAATGTCCTGCCTATCTTGGATGTAGCGGATAGTCCCACACCCCTTCTCGCCTTTTTTTTTTTTTTTTTTTGTCATGGGTACTCAAACTTATACAGAAGATGTACTCCGGATAGTTAATCTTATTATTGTTATGGTTGGGGACCCGTAACGATCCCCATATACGGCTCATCACGTGTGGTGGAATGGTGTTAGGGGGTACTACGGCTACCCTATCACGTGCCCCCCAACATATTGTGTTGCTCTCGCGTAGATGGTCGTTATCCTCCTACAAATGGCCGCCACTGCAACCACTGAGAAGATGTGATAATAAGAACCCAGGGACATTGCGCTGAGGTACAGTAGATTGGGCGGGAAGGATAAGTAATTTATTAGCCTCAACTTCCTTTGCCCGATCACTGGCCCAACTTCCAGGTGCTGGATAGACCTTCAAACTTTGGTGGTTAAATTACTTCAACCAAAGGTTGTATTCTCGCCGAAGGCTACTTTCCCTCGAATGCGTTCGGCGATGGGTAGCTGGACAGCAACGATGTTTGCTGCATAAGGGAGCCGTCACGGCCAATACCTCTCATTCGCACCATTCCAGGAAGGAAATTAGCTTCAGGGAGGAAATAAACAAAAGCACTCTCTGATTGGCTATTCTTCAGAAGTTGAAAAACTCAATCACCGGACAATTTATCTCTCGCACATAAAAGTGAATTCGAGAGTTAAAAAGCCCTAAGGTCTAATCTGTACTTTTTTATTTTTTCGTTTGGTGGGGGGGGCAGGTGGGTCGGGAGAATGTCAGATAGCCACCCTCTCATCCGTAATCGATACAAGAGTCCAGACCAATCCTTCTCACCCGCTCCTAGGCAGGGCAGCAATATTTATATATAATCCAAATCGGTGTGAAAAAGCGCTCCCTTTTTTAAGTTTTTCTCGTGGGATTGTATTCTGTAGTGTGCTTTGCAAATTCCCACGCCGCATGTTTAAGCGCCCTTGGCCAACACTAAAAACATGTCATAACTGCACGACACCGTCGTGCAGTTTATCGCATGCATGTACGGAGTAATATGCAAGACATGGCGGGATGACGAAATGAAGTGAGCCATCCTTGGCATCTAGGCTCACAGCAAGCCATCCTTCCACTTCCACAGCCGCCTTGCGATTCGAGCCTATTAAATTTCTCTGAGGCATTTTCCTTTTACCAGCCCATGCTATTTCTCCATTAAATTGTCTAGCATTATTAAAGGGCTGGGGAAGGTATTGTTTTCCCACGGTTCGAGGGCCCACAACCAGCCACGGCCCCACCGCGCACTGTTCTCGACTCCTTCCGCACAACGTGGAAAGAAAGTCGACCCATATGGCGATGACTAAGCATCGTGGGCTAAGCTGCCGAGGTGGGTCTCCTCTCCTTTGTGGAGCAACTAGTGCACGGCATGCCATGGCCCATTCATCCATTGCTCGAGACTCAAGAGAGTTTATCTCAGCGGGGTTTGGGGGAAAACGTGCTAAGGCTCGCCATTAGCGCAGGCCAAGTTCTAGATTTGAGTTTGTGATTTGGGCGCTGGATATTCCATAATCACTTGCAATTCTCAATTATGTTCACGAATGAATGGAGATAATCTCTCATCCCACCACAACTCCCGTAGCTTCCTCGCCTTTCAGTCTCCCTCTCGCTGCCTTCGAAACAGCACTTTAACCCTCTCCCAAAACCCATAGGATCTGGCTACCTTCAACAACCCGTAAGCAACCACCCTGTAAACGATCGTGCATACGCCCAACGCCATCAAATTCATCTCAGGGTTCTTGTCCAGATTATATAGCTTCAGCGCCTGTTCACCTGTCTCTATAGGGCAGTTGCCACTAGGCATGCGCTGGGAATCACTACAGGTGAAATGGTGATTGGCCATCGAATAACTGGCCAGGTTCGCAACCGCGTATTTGATGGGGGATAGGTGGTTAAACGCTTGGATAACGGCGGGGATGTTGAGGCTCATAACGCCGCCGAGAATGTTGGCGATGGACAGAAGGATCGACGTAATGTTGACGGAGAAACCGGCGTGAGAGAACAACGTGCAGAACATGATTCCTAACGATTCGCCGCAATTGACAATGCAGAAGCAATTGAAGGCTGCGATGAGAAACATCTCCACCGTCCGCTGCATACCAATAGCAAATGCCATTAAGGCGCCAAACACCAGCGAGGAAGCAATTTCGAAGGGGACTTCGAGAATCGTGTACTGTATAACGAATGCCTCGATGGAGTAACAGTTATCTTCTTGTTCGCGGTAAAAGACATCTCTTTCGTTAGGGTATATAGCGATATTTTGTAACATCCCTGTTTATGATTAACTGGCTGTCTCTCTCTCTTTCCCTCTCTGGAAAAGAAAAGAAAAGAAAAGAAAAGAAGCCTCCAGTTTAGGCAGGGCCTGCGGATTTCACTTACCAACAAAGTACAAAGCAGCGAACTGCTGAAGGATACCCATCCTCGACTGAACGGCCTCATAGTCGTTTCGCAGAGGAGCAAAAAATAACGATATGATAATTGACATTCCAACTACTTGCATCGTCCGTGCAGCGATAAGTGGGGGTTGTCTCCGTAGATTAATCAGGGATCGACGTAGGACCAAAGGGAAAATGACATGAAAGGAGTTGATTTGTCTCATAAGACTTCCAAGTTGTTCAGGAGTGGCAATCGTCGACGTTTGACGAGTTAACTCCGCTGGCATTTCTGCCCAATTTGAGATCAGACACTGCACTCTTGAACGGGTCGCAGTTTCTCGCGTTATCTCCTGGAGGTCCACTGTGATTAAATCCAGAACAAAATCGGCCGGGTTTGTAGTTTTGGAGCATGGATACCCAAGCTGCCCAAAATAGGATAACATCTCAGCCCCCTTTCCTGCGTAGACGGGGTGGCCACCTCTAGACAGCAGCAAAATGTTGTGGAAGTAACGGAAAATATCTGATCTGGATTGGTGTATCGTAAGAATAAGAGTCCTCCACTCGGCTGCCAGACCTTGCAAAACCTCGATAATAGATGTGGCCGTGAAAGCATCTAGACCAGATGTCGGTTCGTCCAGGAGCAAAATCTTCGGGTCCGTTAAGATCTGTATCGCAATGGTAGCTCTCCGTTTCTCCCCACCGCTAATACCCTTGATAAGGTCGCTGCCAATTAAACTGTTTGCGCAATCCTTTAGGCCCATTTTCAGAAGAATTTCTTCCGCACGCCGGTTTTTTTCTTCCTTTGACATCCACGAAGGTAGGCGCAAGCCAGCAGCAAATTGGAGGCTCTCCCGTACCGTTAAAGACGGCATCAGAGCATCATCGTCTTGAGTCACAAACGAAGTGACCGACCTGATTACGTTTTCAGAAGGCGCCGCGCCATTATAAAACATTTCACCGCCAATACGGTATCGAATTCCAAAAGAGCCTTTTAGTCTCCCAGCAAGCGAACAAAGCAGCGAAGTTTTCCCACTTCCAGATGGTCCCATGATAATGTT